TTCATTGCAAACTAATACACTGACATCTGATACAACTCCACTTCAAATGTTTGTTACTTCCTTAACTCAGATGATTTTCACTGGATCCCAAAAACTTCATGTCCACCTAGGAGCAAATATCCCAACAAAATCCTTAAGATAAATATTTTTACTTTACTTATTAAAATTCCTGTAATGTGTAGGTTTTAGTCAGCTTTTTTGCTGCTGAGACTAAAGGACTTGATCAGAACAATTGAAGAGGGAGAATGTTTTATTTGAGGACTCATGGAAACCATGAAACAGAGGTCTTAGTCCATAGAAGGCTGGTTCCATTTCTTGGGGCTCAAGATGAGGCTGAACATCATGGCAGAATGTGTGGCAGAGGGAAGCAGCTCACATCATGGTGATCAAGAAGCAGAGAGAGAGATACCATTCTCCAGATACAAAATGGGTAAATACCAATATAGGTACATACCCCGTAGCCATGCCCAATTCCCACCTCCTCCAGCCACACCCCACTACTTCAATAATCCCATCAAGGATTAATTCACTGATTGGGTTAAGACTCTTACAACCCAATCCTTTCTCCTCTGAACCTTCCTGAATTGTCTTGCTTGTGAGTTTTGGGGGGACACCTCACATCCAAACCATAACAATGTAGTAAAATGAGGCTATTATTGGTGGGATAAATTATATGTATGATAAATGGGTGATATAACTATTTTGAGGCCAGTAATAAAAAAATCAGGCTGGGAAAAAACCTCAAGCTGGGAATGTTAACTCTGTGGTAGAGCACTTCCCTAGCATGTGCAAGGCCCTGAGTTTGATCCCCAGTACTGCTGCATTTAGCTGCCTCAAACTTGGTATTTGCTTCTTTCATTAATATAAAAGTGATAACCAAGAGAGTTTTTAAAAACATTGCATGGATATGCTGAAATCATTTGAAATCATTGAAGAAACTAAAAAATCAAAATAATTTACCACAGGAAAGGGTTAAATAAAGATCTTCAAGATTAGAATGGGTGAAAGACAGCAGTGTCAAGACTGATTTAATATATTCCCCACTGTTCTGGGACATGCATAAAGTAGAAGCTGATTGTTACAAGTCTGAATTTGACTTCTATTTGAATTTTCAGTTTAATGTCTGATATATCCAGTGGGTGAATGTCATCTGTTGAAAGCCAGGCAGACAAGATAATTTCCTGCTCGTCAGAGAGAGTTCAAACCACACGATCCTTAAATATTTCCATGACTTTCTGTAATGCTGATACTAAAATTATAATAAACTGCCTTTCAATTAAAAAGTCAAGGCAATTTAACAGAACAAAACATAGCTGAAGTGCTGATGCAGATTTTTTTTTTTCAAAGAAGCTAATGACATTTCCTGGGTCCACAATTTAGATTGCAAAAAACAAAATCCTGTTTAGCACAAAATCTAGTTGCAAAGGATGAATTTCAACCAAATGAATTAGACCATAAGCCTGAAAGTTCTCATTCCCATGACAAACCAGATTATTAAACTTTAGGGAAAGAAAACTATTTTTATTAACTAAAACACTCAAACCTTACATGGTAAGCAGCTATAAAACAAGTCACAAAATTCCAGTAAGAGTCATTCCACTTGGCAACTAGGTGAGAGTCTCAAGACACCATTAATAATAATAACAACTCAATAATCTTGGAGTTATATAAATTTTCAAAACAGCCTTCACTTTTATTTGATCATCCTCTCAACTCTTTGAGGTAGGTAGATTAACTGATCAAAGTTCTGAAAGTCAAACATAGCTTATTTAGATACAATGTGAATTAGTAGTGTTAATAATACATAATTAAGTCTTACAGATTCTAGCATGTTTTCTGCCAAGTCACAGTATCAGACTGAAAAAAAAGAATACCAAGGCTTGGTACTATTTAATTCAATAGGATTTACACAAGTAGCATGCTCCCCATATCTGTATTCAACAGGAAAGCTGGAAATGATTGTGCATAAGATGGATGAC